CTCCCCCACCCTAGATGGCACGGTGAGGAAGTCCAGCAGTTAAAGCACTTAGACTAGAACAGACGTAGCTACGTTAAAACAATAAAACAATAAAAGAAGGTACGACCTCTCTCGTGCTCCCAGGATGTGGGTGTGCATTCTAGTGTGGAATACACACCAAGCCTTTGCAGCCTGTTAAAGATCACACACAATTAATTATATGCCTCTAAGTATACATGGTTGAATATTTCCTAATACAAATAACTACATGCAGTATTCTACCATATGCAAACTTATATCACTAAAAGATTATACTGACTACTAAATACAATTTTCCATTAACAAAATCAAACAATCACAGTGTAATCAAAGTACAGAATTGTAGCTTTTAATTCAAAGAGTTTTACAATAATGTTTGCATTTACTGTTTATGAATCACAGCCATAGTTCCCATTGTCAGAGGCTCAAAGTAATTGGACAAACTAACACAATTTTAAATGAAAGGATTCAAAACAGTCCTTTCAAGTCTGGAGCCCATGGATCTCATTACATGTATATTTCCGCCACTGAGACGCTCTGCTAGGTCTTTATTTAATTGCCACTCGTTTGTAAGTTGTGCCTTCAGTTTTTGGTTTTGCTTTTTTGGGGGAGGGGCTCCTTGCACTGATGTCTCTTTGGATCAAATATAGAGAATTCACCTGTCCAGGTAACATATATGCGAGTTAATTCATTGGAGCCATGAAGGTGCATCTGAAATTAAGACTATGTCAAACAATTGACTCTAATTCCTGAACAGATAATACAGTTTTTGCACCCGTTCAGTTAAAGTCTGCACCAATCACGTCTTCACTGTTTGATTTAAAATCTAATATGTTTGAGGGCACAGATGTATAAATCTGTGTAGCTATGGTAATTGCTAATGCTCCACACTGGTGTTATTTAATCTTGATACTTTTTCATCTTCACCATCCCCCCCAAAAAATTGATTTGATTCTCCTGCAAAGGGAAACACTGCTATACCAAGGACCTCCACTGTCATCCACAAACTATTAGAACCACGTAAATGTACCAGCCCTTCAATTTTATTACATATTTAATCATAAAAATTGACATGGCCAATTGTGAAACTGTCAGTACGTGTCTTTAGTCCCCAAAGAGGAGCTCTATGACTGCCAGAGCATGTAGTTACATGTTAAGAAGAATGTATTAGCCTGATCTCCTTCCTAATAATGGATGGAAAATGTCACTCAAATGCACAGTCATAGCTCTTTTATATAGACAAGGCAAAAACGACATCAGGTTTTGGCTCTATGAATTATGCTGTTTGGCAGGGTTTTCCTTTTTGGGTAAGAATGGAAACATCAGTCTCACCTGTATCTTTTCACAAGGTTAAAGTAAAAACAGATTTCTTGAAATCTTTGAAATCCACAGAGTGTCGTCATTCCATGGATTCAGATCGTAGTTTCTTTCTGTTGAAGGCAGACGTGAGGATTGTAGTTTCATTGCTTGGTAACTTCTTCTGTTGTCATGTCTATGAGGGAAAAGTACCACAAAATCATCAGCTTGGTGTAAATTGCATGAATGAACAAAAGCAAATATGGATGTGCAAATGGATTTTTCTCTCAGTTCTGTCTGTAGACTGCAGCGGGGGCAGCGACCTCACCATGTCTCCTGAGGAGAGGGTTCCCATGCGTAGGTCCAGCACCCGAGAACAGGACCGCCGGAGTGGGGGGACCTGTTTCCTGCTTGCTGCCAGTGATTACACCTGCCCTGCAGACGGAGGGATACGAAAGACAGGTAGTTTAACTGATATGTAAAATTTCACTTTTTAAATGTCATTTAATTCAACATCGAATTAGAACATTGTGATGTGATTTTATAAAGTATTCTAAAAAGCATGCAGATCTGTTTATTGGGAAATCATTGTCAAATCCACGCTTGCTGTTGTGCACTGCTACTGATTAGTTGTTTGAATCATCAGTCATCATTAGTAAAGTTCAGTTTCCTGGAACCACCGGTCTGAATAAACCGCCTATCATTTTAGAAGGTACTATTAAAATCACAGATACTTGTCCAAATGCTCATCAGCTGATCCATGTCCTTAGTGAGTGGCACACCAACATCCCAGGAAGGGAGGAGGCTTTATGTTCAGCCCTAGTCAGCTCAGGTAACGTAACCTGTTGACGTGCTGTCGCGACTCTCCACAGACACACTGCATAACATTTTTGGCCTTTCTAAGGGGCAAACGCATCCCGGCAGCTGACTCAGAACTGTTGCTTTCTTCACAATTTATTCCTGTTTTCTGGTTGCCTGGAAACAGTTGAATACATTTCTGACCCAGTGTCTTACTTTTTTGGCTGTGGACTGGTCCACTGTCCGTCCACAGAATGCAAAATAATTGCCAAGTACATCATCTGCCTGTAAGGTGATGATACACCAGCAAATAGTTTTTCACTGTCAGAGAGGATAAAAGGTTAAGGAACAAGATTTTAGTCAACTCATAAACATATTTATAGGGTAGGGTATAAGTCACCAATGGATATCAGTCTTATAGCTCTGGCTACCGTTCTTACAAATCCTGTACTGGCTGAGCCCTACCAAACATCATCATCAGAGGATCTGCAGGAAAGAGACGAGGTTTTAGTTTCTGTTTGTAACTCTTGGCCATAAAGCTAATATTTATTTCTAAAGACTGAAGCTAGCTAGGAAGAGAAGCTTACATTATCAGCTCCTGTTAGAATTGATAAATACACTATTTATCAGTTTCTTAAACTTTTTCTCTTGTACCTTTGGTTTTTACATTATTTAGCAAACCATCAGCTCCAATAAAGCAGTTCTTTAAATTTGAGTTTGCAGAAAAATGAAGAAGTCACTTTCCCAAATATTATGAGTTGGAAATAGCTCTGATTGCATGACTGAAATAATGTTTTTCATAAAACTACAGGAATAAAATTCATCTTTACTTGCTGTCAGACTTGCCCTCCTGAATTGCATAGCACATGTCACCTTGTGCCAGTACATTGTGAAAAGGTCAGACTCAGAAAGGGCTTGCTAACACTTTGACCCAGCCTAAAGGTTATTGTTAAGTTACACCTGCTGAATTTCCTAAAAGTGTTGTTGCTGTTCTGTATGATATCAAAGGCAGAAAAGGTCATGAAACTAGTGATGGGATTTCCGGCTCTTTTTAGAGAACCGGCTCTTTCGGCTCGGCTCATTAAAAAGAGCCGGCTCTTTCGCCCCCTGAACCGGCTCTTCAGGTTGTTTTGTTGCTTTAATTAATTTATTATTAACAATAATATGAAATTATGCACAAAAGTAATTACTAATGTAAAAAAAAGAGTGGTTTTATTTATACATGTTTAAATATAAACATATGCGGTGGCCCCTAGAGACAAAGCACGTACAAATTCCAAAGCACGTACAAACTCCAAAACACATTTCTAGCGTTAACTGAACTTCCAAAACAGAGCTACTAGATCACTTAAATTACACAATTGAACGCAATGTGTTTGTGTATTTATACACAAGCACTCATATATATTCAAATAATTTAAAAAATGTTCATTTACCTGTTACTACCACACACTAAATCCGGTCGTTGGTACTTCCTGGCTTGTGTAGCCACTAGGTAACAAAAGCTCAACACTGCCCCCTAGCATCCTGGAGCACCTCTGTTGTGTTTTGTACGTGTTTTGAGTTTTTATGTGCTTTGTCTGTAGGGGCCACCGTAAATATACTTTTATTTATTCACTCCACATAAAATCTAATAAATAAATCATATAATACAAAAACCAACTATTCACATTTCAACTTTTAACTATTTAAATTTTCAGCTTTTTCCTTTTAAACAAATTTCAAGTGAAACAACACAAAACTCTGCAAACCACAACACAATTAAATATAAACTAAAATATGAAAACAAAAAGAAGATGCATATTCTCTGTCATATGGACCTGCATGAATAAACTTTCTGAATCCTTTATCATCCACAGCTGAAAATAGTTGTGGATACTATACCTTTCTGATGGGAGGTTGTTGTCCCTGGCTCTCTTTCTCTCTCTCTCCCTCCCGCTCTGTTCCTGTGCTACTGCGAGTTTAACTATCGCCCCTCCCTCCTCTGCCCAGCAAAGCACAAGGCTCGCGTGAGGAGTGAAGTGAAAAAAGTGCGAGAGAGAGAGTGAGAGAAAGAAAAAAAAAACCCACGGCTCGCGATAAGGAGCCGGCTCGTGTCGTTCACGTCAAAGATCTGGCTCTAAGAGCCATTTCGTTCGTGACGACACATCACTACAGGAAACAAAGCACATAAATCAAGCAGTTCGCAGAGCAGAGATTAGTTCAGACTGCAGTTTTTTTGATAGATGCAGATTATCTCTGCTAAATAGAGAACATACCAAAATGTCATTTGGATGCTATCAGAAACATATGTCATTCAGATTGCTTCTTCTATTTACCTGCAGAGACATGAATCTTGTGTTAATCTGCAAAGTAAAGTGGAAGTGTTAAGCCTTGGCTAACTGCCTTGTATGGGAAGGTAGCTGCATCTCCAGGAGCCTAGCTGAATATCCGGCTCCTAATATTATTGCTGTAAAGCCACCTAGCACTCATTGGATAGCAGGCAAATCAGTGCTTCTGTTCCACTGATTATTTTGCTAAAGCACCCATTATACAAGAATTCTAATGAATGCAAAGCATTCATTAGGCTTGCTAACAGAGCCTTATTTTTCATTGCATTAAGCAAAAGAAACAACAACAACAAAAAACAACTGCTGATGGCTTTGAGGTGGTTACTGGAGTAGTCTAACAGGTTAACCTGTCCACATCTTCAGCGACAGCGCATCATGATTTTCAGTGAAGTCAGGTGAGCAGCTGTCCCTTTTATCCATCGTGGTTGCAGTTGCCACCACACTGACGGTAATGCATAAAACATGGGTTCCTTTCTTGTTCCCGCTACCTGTTGGCTCAGACCCAGGCTCTCTTTTGTTCTGCTCGCTTGGCTCATTCTGAAAGAGCCCCAGTTTAATTTGCACCCATGCTCTCAGTGAATCAAATGGTGGTGTATGCAGAGTGGTAATGAGGCAACATTTCCATTTGCTGTTCCTCATCAGCCGATTGGCATGCTCCATTACTGCGCTGGCTGCTGTGGCTTGTTTGGTTATTTTGAACCCAATGCAGATTTACTGATGTGCATCACATGCAGCATTTTCAGAAGTTTGAGCTGTTGTTGTTAAGATGATTGAATTAAGGTGTGTCGATTATCATCATCATCAGTATGTGTCTGGATTCATACACACACAGTAACATTTGATACATAATCTAAGACACATGCATGTTGTTCATTTTAAGCTACATATTGTGGCTCAATATATGAATTGGTGGTTTATATGTGCACTTGTTAACTTTAACCGTTCCTTGGAAATTTTATCCATTTCTAATGGGAGAAAATACTAATGATGCTGTCACTGGTGCCACAACATGAACGACTGTTTTTTTCTTCAGCCCTAAAGTTAAAGAATTATAATATCTCTCATTTAGCTAAAACGACTCTGACAGAGTTTACAGAGGTATTTCTCAGGGGTGGAGCTTGCTGTGCAAGTTACAGAAATACAATTACGAAGGAGCTCCGCTGGCTTGCAAAGTTCAAAGAACTTCAAGATACATACAGCTTCAAATGGCAACACATATAATAGATATGCTACTTACTAATTACCTAGCTAACTACAGGGTAGCACGACTGCTCTATTATTAGTTTAAGTTTTCATTACAAGCACCAAGAAACAGAAACACTGTCTACAATATAAACAAAATCAAAAGCTGACTCTTCCGTCCCATATCAACTTTTCATTAAGTAACTAAGCACCACTTTTTCAGAGGAAAGATTGTCAGTAAAGTGAAAGAGAAATGAAGTAGATTCCCAGCATCAGAGGACTGACTACAAATCCCACGAATGTTCCTGTTGTGCGTCCAACACTGGCCTGATCACTGACCTCAGACTCCCTAACCAAAGATAGCTGTGCAGCTTCTTTCTTCAACTTAATTTCACCAAAGCTGCCATCTGTGACGTCGTGCAGCTATGAGGGGCATCTCTGATGAAATTATGGACATGTCGCTGCCGCTGATAGAGAGGAGCAGCCACACGCCAGTAGAAACAGATAACCTTTACCATGACTAATTCACTTGTTCACTGACCATCCACGAGTTAGCAAACCTGTGGTCCAAGATGCTGCAGAACCAATCACAGAGCTTTCTTTTCTGTATCAAGATCTGCAGATGTGGGTCAAAGCAGGAACAAGTTCATTAAAGCAGAATGTTTTCTTAAGAATCTACTTAAAGGAATATTGATCTTTTTAAATGACAGCATTTCGTACTGTTGAAATTCAATATTTCATCTTAAAAGTTTTAAATAAATAGCACAGCTGGCCAAACAGCAAACACAAGTGAGATTCAACTCTGACATGCTAAACTGCTGGCATTGTTACATTTTTGGACCCTAAAGAGAAAAACATGAATACTGTGCATGGTGGGGCTTTAAAGTCTTCCACTTTTTCATCGCTCAATTTTAAAACATTTAGACGATTTGATGTGGCATAGAGATTCTCTTGCCATCTGAAAATATAATATTATTGGGCAATAAATTGATATAGTAGTGCATTGTTCAACAATAAAAGTAGCCTTTTTTTCAACATCTGCTGTGACGACAAGGCTACCAGTAACTCCCTGCTAGCATAGCATGAATGCAGCATAAAGAACAGCTCGGGTTTAAAATGTCGCCACACAAACTTATTTTGTTTCAGAGTAGGCAAAGATTTAAATAAAGAGAATTTAATTTAATTATGCATCGATTTACTGCAGGAACTAAAGATGTGAACAGCTATCGGTGTATCCAGTGTTGTTTGTATTTGTTGTAGATGTAATGGATTTCATATTTCAGTTACTTCAGCAACAATATAGATAGTTTGCACTTAAAGCAATCTTAAGAAGCACTTTTGAGCCAGTCAGGTTGTTTCTTCCTCTCAAGCAGCTCCAGGCCTAAGAATTTCAATATGCTTTATGGCCAGTGTCATGAAATGTGCTGTACATGCACTCACCATACAGTATGCTACTGTTGCTATGTCTCACTCCTGTCTCCTGTCTTGTCTCGGTTCACTCGGCTGGCTCGGATTTGGATCGTTGCCTGCCTGCCTGCCTGCCTGCCTGTGTGTGTTCATGTCCTGTTCCTGCACAACCACCTCCACCACCACCACCTTTGTCGCCCCCCTCATCTGAAGGCTATGAGAAATCCCGGAGCTTAAACAACATAGCGGGCATGACTGGCATGGCTGGTAACACTCTGAGGCTGTCTCCTGTGACCTCGCCCTATGGATCGCCCTGCCCGCTACGCCGCTCTCGCTCCCCTATCCCTTCCATCCTGTGAGATGTCCACCTCTGGACCGCTTTGACCCCAACCAACCCATATCCGTTCCACTAACAAACCACATCCCTCTGGCATCAAATCCGAACTCTGTTTAGTTCTTGTGACTAGTGGAGAAGTACTCCACCATCGTAGCCAAGAATCGTGTAAATGTCTCGAGTAACCTGAGCAAGTTCTGCGCTTTTCCTTCGAGGTACATCTGCTAAGCTCACATTCATCTCCTGATGTACCTTTTAGCTCGATATTATCATAATGTGAGTCTTGCAATAAAAAAACTGTTACTGGTGGCTTCAGAGGTAGCAGCCATAACGTGTAATAAAGGACATTTAATAATCAGGGATATTAGATGTTGTTATATTTAGATACCTTGAAATAGATGTGCTTCCAGAAAAAGAAAGAGAGATGCCACTTTGTTTTAACCTCACACAAACTGTGACTTTGTTGATGGTAAACTGTGTTATAATTGGGTTGGAGTTGGAGAGGAGGGGCAAGTCGCTTTTCACCCGCTGTTGGGCCTGCTCATGTTTTTGCATGGATCATCCTGTAACCATCGTCTTCAAGCAGCGTGCACAGAGGAGGGGAGGAGAGCTCGAGGATCTGTAGAACAGACTTGGAGTTGTTTCTAGAAAATGTTGTTATGTTGGGATTTAGGCGAGGGAGGGCGTACCCGACTCGTACCATGTCTCATTTTGCCATTGGCTTCAGCAACAATCCACGAAGAGACTGAAAACACAGAAGCCCAGCTGGGCGTTGCTTTCTGCTCATTTGCTGCTATTTCTGAATAACTTTCTCCTCCTCTGTGTCTAATTTTCTTTTTCCTCTGACGTAGTGCCACCAAATCTGTTGTGTTTCTGGTTGTTTACTCACAGATAACTGCAAAGAGGTTGTCTTTACTGGTTTTACACAAGCAGAGAGCAGCGTTCTATCTTAATGGCTTGAAGAAAGGCACCGCCATAGTGGAAAGGTAAAGGAATGAGGGTGCGGTGCCATCTCACCCTTTTCTTGGCTATTTTTCAGTGTGTGTGTGTGTGTGTGGGGGGGCATAGACAGGTAGCATTTTATTCATGAGGCAATGTCCATAAAAAATAAATAGATGTACGTCCCCAGACTACACAGTTGAAATTGAAGCTAATCAGTCTTTTTGACAATGACAGGCATAAACTGCCTCTGTGTACCAACAGGTGTGGGGAAGCAGACGTAACCATGCAGCAGTGTGCCTCGCCCATCACTACAGTATGTCTATAGAAGTAGCAGGAGGTTGCTAAGCAACTGGCTCACAACTAGATGCATCTTCCACGTAGCTCGGCAAAAAGTCAAACTATCAGAAAGAGGAGCTTGTCTTTGTCTTTGCACCTAGTTATTGATTCACGCCTTACATGAACGACCCCAGCACACAGACGAGCCTTTAGAAATAAAATTTTGTACTGTTTTGATTTTTGTGCATATATTTTTAAACAGACAGCGTGTGCATGGTGAGATCTGATGCATTTCTTTCATCCAAACATGTGTTTATATTTTATTTAGACAATTCATTTCCTATTTGAATAACAGTGGGATAAATTGTCATCTGTATGAGGACCTATTGCAGTGGGAAGACCTCATTTGGAGCCATAAGGCCACGCCTACAGGACAATAAGGATGAGGACGCACCCGAGAGCCACTGACTGACAGGCTGTCGGTGAGCAGACTGGAAGACTCACAAAAAATTCTTATTTTGAAAAGGAGAGGAAAGCAAACTGGGCTCGTCCTTAAAAGAGACTATCTAGTGTGTAGATTCTGCTCCTGTAAATACAAAACAACACAGCACATCTGGGCCATGTGGCTCTGTCCACACATCTGTCTTTTGATATAGCGAGTCAGGTACGAGGCGGCTCGCTGCTACGTTGCGCCGTTGACACTCTGAGTCGATCATCTTGCTGTGATATCCCTCCTTGCAATAAATGTATTGAGACGCATCAGTCGAGACACTTTGTGTTCAAAACAAGGAGTGTGTTCATATATGAAATTCCACACCGAGTATATACAGTGTAGAGAGGCAACGTTGAACAAATGTGACATTACGATCATCTCTGCTTTTGTTTCTCTCTGTAATTTCAGTAGGTTAATTGCTGCTGTGTGTAACTGTGTGTGTGCGTGCGTGTGTGCGTGTCCTAACAATCCAGGGTAAGGTCTATAGCTTGAAAGGCCCGGTCAGAGAAGACCAGCGAGTGGACTCGATGCTGTCACTCTTGTACATTTAGCACAAACAGAAATGAGACAGAGCTCCCCTGTGATGCAGTGCCGTTGTAGAAGTCCCCTCTCTACCCTGCGTTAGTGCTGCAGACGTTCATCTCTATACAAACCAAATTGTTCTGACCAGACTATTCCTCATGACTCCTGGTGGCTAACAAAAATAACTTGATTCTTCCAGATCTTTCCCCTTGTGGGGGTGAAGCAAACGTGTAGCAGAAGTTTACCAAGTTATACAGCGGGACTTCTAGAATGGCTACATCTGCACCGTAGCAATCCCACATACCCACACAATCAGATTGGATTCGCAATAAGCACCCGAAAAACAAAAGCACCGATCCACACTGTGATTTCAGGAGCCTGTTAAAACAGGAAGGTGAAGGAAAACGAGTGAAAAAGCAGCTGGAGAAGCTGCCAGGCGAGATCTGAAAGTGGCACAACCGGCACAGTTGTAGGCTAGCTGTTCCAGTGTCGCCCTGAACCCACCATCCTCCTCATGTAGTACACACGCTGCTTCACTCTTTGAATTGACAAAGGGGTACCGTTCTTCGTGTATTTCTAGGATGATGTTATAACTTGAAAAAAAAGGTGTTTATTTTTTTGAAACCAGAACATGTATTTTTGTGTCTTACTGTGGAGTACTTTGCTCTTTCCTGTAAAGTCCTGGTAGTCTGATGCTGTGCTTCTACATCGTGTCCTCCAACTGTCAGGCTTTTGATCCAAGTTCATGTTTCGTATGTTTTACTGTGAGCATAATTCTAGTTTTTGTAATTCTGTATTTGTGGAGCCTTTTGTTGGCAAGTGCATGCTGAAAAGAAAAATCATTATGTCAAATTGTAAAAAAAAATAAAATAAGATGACATATTGTATATCACGTTCAAAACAATGTGTATAGAGTAAAGGTAAATACTATGTGAGAGACTCACATAAACTATTTATCTTTTAACAGATGGTCTCTGTCTTTGCTTAATTTCACCTATTTTCTTCTTGGTTGTCAGAAAAACACAAATGTGTGTTTAACCTTCACGCACACCACACAAACCCTCACTTTTCATATAGGAGTCAATCGTCTCCACTTTTCTAAATTGAAAATCGACTTATTTCTTTTGATAATGCTTAACTTCACCTATTAAACCACCTTCAAACTTTCCCCTTTACATTAGTGACTCAGGTCTCTGCGCACAGAAAAAAAAAAAAATCTAACCTGAATTGAAATTAAAATGAAAACTTTAACAATCCTTTTCCACAGTGTTAGTCAGTGACTGGCTGCTCCTGTATGGGATCAGAACGATGCCGCCTTATCCCACAGTCCAGCCAATGATGCGATTCACATTCGTGTATACGCAGCTAATCAACGTGGCTGACAGGCTCTGACAGCGTCCTCATGTGCCGGAGTTTTAGCAAAGCGGCTGATGTGGAGTGAAGCCAGGTTAATGACAACGTGTCCAACCATTGGAGATGTGAGCAGGACAGACGGAACAACTGACGGACAAAGTGTGGACTTTATTGTGTTGATCGGCCACGTAAAACCAGAGTTATGATAAAATATCTGTAATGTTTGTTTTTCTTCCTGAATACTGTCGTTGTTTATATTTACTGCGGGAAGAAACGGTAAAAACGACGTTTTATAAGGAAAACGCTCGAAAGCCTGTGAGCAAAAACAACGCCAAAAAAACCCCCAGCCTTTCCTATTGGTGAAAAAATGAAACCTGGTCGACCAATCAAAAAATGATATGGCAACATGACATTTAGTTGTTTAGGAAGGAGGAGGTTTTAAGAGTGACGGCGGAGATTTGCGACATTTAGCGTGTTTGGAGTCTGAACATAGTGTGTTGTCTTGTGTAGT